AAGAAACTTACCTCCTCGTGTAACGCTGCACTACTACCGTTGCTGCTGCTGCTGCTGTTGCTATCTTGCCCAAAACTTGAACGCTGCGGGCTTTTCGCTGGAGCCATTATCCAAAGTGCTTCTCTCTCTACCTACCGTTCGTGCCTCGGATGCGTATAAGTGTGTAGTCCCCGTATATATATTCTATATCTATGCTTGCTTGCGCTTACATATAATTCCGCGCGAAACTTTTGTCAAGATGGAATATGGCACATTTTCATGTAATACGTTGAGGTCCTTTGATGAGCTCGAAAATTTACGTCGACATCATAAATCCCTTATAGTTCAACAAACTTTGCGCTTCTTCGTCTTCTTCTCTTTTTTTTTCATTTCATCCTCCTAGGTGCTCGCTGACAAAGTTGAACGAACTTGGCAGATTCTCTCACGTTGAAATGAAAGAAAAGAAAGAAAAAAAAAGGCTAACAATTCGTGAGAAGTAATAATTACGATGTTTCTTATTAGCTCGTCTTTTGAATGAATATAATTTACCGTACGTTATAATAACGACACTTTTTCTGCGAGATATGTACGTCTTAATAAGGCTCCCTCGTAAACAATCGGCACATCTCAGACTTTCTAGCGGTGCAGTGCTCTCCCGCGCGCGCACGATGTTGATTGCAACGTGCCCGCTCGCGGTGCATACGCGCGATAATTACAAAACATTTCATTCTTATTTATAAATTTAGCTACCTGCGCTCACTCATATTTCCGAGCTTACGTGCCGTATGTGTGCGAGTTTAATAAATAAGTCTACGCTGCACACGATCCACGACGGTTTACCGTAACTATTCGACGTGAGTGTATGTCTCCTACTACGCGTAAGCATAGCAGGAGTATATGCGGTTGACCAGCATCGATGAAGCGATGTTTCCTGGGTGTATTCCCTCAACATGTATACTCACATACATGGCACGCGCATACTACTCTCTGTTCGTGTACACGAGAAACGCGTACGAGACGCAGCAGCAATGTGTGTGCATCAGTACGTGGAGGGAAAAAACAAGAGCAACGTTTGTGAATACTCAATGACTGTACTTTATTGCATGTGTGTACAGACCTTCTCCTTTATATGACAGGTGGATGTAGGCTTGAATTTAACGTTGATTTGCATTGCTTGGGCTTGCGATTGCCGTGCTATTTTCTATCGAGTTTATATATCGGATATGTTCCGCTAGTTGTGCAGCAGTAGCAATAGCAGCAGCGTTGAGTGATTGATGCATATAGTGCAAAACTATGATTTATATCCGGGGGAGGGGGGCGGGGGGGCAAGAAGACAGAAACGAATGTTCTTTACGATTATTTTGACTCGTTGCTTTTTTAGCTTTTCTTTTTTATACGTCCACGAGAGTAAGAGAGAGAAAAAGAGATGATCCACGAGGGAGGAGGGATAGAGAGAAATGACTATATATACGATCTTTATCGGAAGTTAAATGGACTCAATTTTTCACAAAACTGTCCAAACGTATACGCGTGACATTGATCCGCTCTTAGATGAACGTTTATCCCTTTTCCCTGCGTATATACTCCATGAAATAAAAAAGAACTCGAATCCTCGTATCTCTCAAGAGCGCGTTGCACTGCGAGGCAGTAATATGAAAAAAAGAAGCCCGGGACAGCAAGATAAATCAAACTATCTTCCTTGCTCCTCTATGTATTCAAGGTTTTTTTTGCTGCTTTAACCCGGAAAATTGCTGCAAGAAAATATGTTCGTTCAGAACACATACGCACGAACTGTTTAAGAGCGACAAAAAAAGGACTTTGTGAGATTTCTTTCGCACATTGGGGGTGAACCAATCACGCGACGCGCCGCAACGACCCCTCTTGCAAGAGACATAGACGGCACGAAGCAAAAAAAAGTCAAAAGTTACACCTTTAGCAGTAGCATGTACGGACTTTTCTCTCTTTCTATCTGCCGTAATTTCCCGTCAGATAAAGCAACACTTTCACTTGATACTTTATTGCGATTTCAAGGCGCGCGCGAGGGCACGCATCGATTCGCACTCGCTCTTCACCTATTACTTATTTTTCCAGACGTTTCTTTGAAAATGCCAGGATACGCACCAGATGCTTTTTGACTTCTTCTTTCTCGCCAGTTTTCGTGAGTGAGACAAGTTTGACTCGAGCAAGCAAAGATATTTTAACGACGGAGCGATTAATGCTACAGTTATATATACAAAGTGACTTTTGCAGCGAGTCATGTTTATTTCGAAATTGTCTTATTCACAGTGCAAAAGTTTCGCGCAAAGATAGCACGAAGAACAGTTTTAGAGGAAAGAGGGTAGACGCTAGAAAAGTTGTAATGCACTGAGTTAACTCTTTAAAATTCCTCATTGAAAGGGTAAATAATAAAATACAAAGTTCGGTACTTTATTTCCAATTTATCTATACGTCGCAGCTATTGCAAAAAATTAAATTCTCCGAAATTTCCAACTCGCACATGGTAAACAACGAGGCAAAAAAAAAGCATAAATCCAAGTTGCTCGCGCTCCCGTGTACATCAGCACAATAACAAACACAGTGAGAGACGACGATGCAATTCATGGCCTCCATCTCTACGTAGAGTTGCCAGGGCAAAAATATACACGTTTTGACCCGGTCGCTCTCTTTCTCTCTATATTTATATACATCGCGTATGTAGTCCTATGTGCGTGTGTGTAAACGTGTGTACAAAAAGGGATCTCGATTTCGCGCGAGCTTGTATTTATGCGCTCAATATGCCGCGCGCAGAAAAAACTTACATACGGCGACTGTTGTTCGCTCCTGTGCACACGTTCGCTCGTGTGATATTGTTGTATTTTGCAAAGAAAACTGCCAATTCGCTGCTACGGCGTGAATAATAAAAAAAATTTCTATTTACAACGTTTCGTGTAACTTAAACGTATGTGAATTCGCTTGCAGAGCAGCATCGCGTGGCCTGGAAATACGATTCTCGACTAATACGCGCGAATTCACGTCGTAATAACATGGAAAATAAATTAATTCCTGCCAATATGTGATATTAATTTTATTAATACCAGACGTTTCTGCTTATGGAAAATGTCAAACAGCAGCGAAGATAACATATGTCGGGGGATCGCACATCCTCGCGTACAAAATTTACTCTCTCGCCCCCTCTTTCATCTTTTCTGCTATCCAATAAATTATAAGCATGCAATCGAGCAGCGGCGCTGAAATAATCAGCTTATATGAATACGAAAACGAGCTGCATCTGTAATAGGCTTTTATGTGTGCCTAGTGGTAAATGATTTGCTCGCGGTTACCGCCCCATGAAATTATCGCAAAACCACGGCACTCGCTGCATCTGCGATTTCGCCTTGCTAATTTAAAGCTTTGCTTTTCTTCCCTTCCCTTTCCTCCCTGCCTCCCACAGCCCCCCTCGATGGGCGTATGTATGTTGCATTTAACCTCACGTACACCCACAGACACGCGATTAGAGACAGCAGTAACAGCAGCAGTATATTGTATCGTAGTAGTACTTTGTGCTTTTATCACGCAAACTCTTACGATCAGACTTTGTGTTGTTGTACGGTGCCGTGCGTGCGTGCGTGCGGATTTTAATTTTCTCTCGTTCTTTTTTATTTCATCGATCTTTAATGTGCTACTTCCGCTGTTAGCTCATGCATCGACCATCAGGGGGTTATAATTTACATATCGCAAGCAACGGGACGTTTAATTTCTCCTTGTCGAGCTTCGTACACCTCCAATCAACGGTTACACCTCGATGTACTGATTTTTTTTTATTACCGTAGATCATAGCCAAACGATGGATTCTTGTTGTTTTTTTTACTTTTACCGGTCACGGTTAGGTGATTGCCGCTTCTACTGCCTAGCACGCGAGCAGCGTACTGTCGCGCTATACTGGGCAGTTAACAGGCATAAAAGTGCTAGGCTCTTCTTTTGCGGCGCGCCTCCTGCAACTGCGCCGAGCCGAAACGTGCGATTTAACTAAACCGCGATTTTTATCTCCCAGTCACGAGGGGGGTCGGTCGGCGGCGCCGGTGCAATAATGTGTTTGCGCGCGCCGACTGCTCAGATAACTATCTTTTAGTTTGTACGTTTTTACACCTCGTTGGCTAATCACTGGACTTTTAAATGCTCGTGTGCGTTTCAATTTGCACGCCTCAATCGAAATTGCATCAGCTGAAGAGCTGCAAAAAAGGACGTGTTCTTGATTGCGCAATTTTTTTCCATAGCTATACGAGAAAAGTTACGTAACTCGATGATTCTCATTTTGATATTAATTATGAAAAGTTCACGGAGAAAAAAGTCCAAAAGTTCTTCGACTCGGTAAAAACAATACACAGTAGCAGCAACGGTAGAAACACATTTGCAACAAATGCCAAGTCAAACTTTTCAATTCGCTGCAAAAGTTCAATCACATTTTTTCTTCACCTCCAAGTCCTTCGTCAAAAACGCGCGCTTAATCCGAAAAAATAAGCGTTGAATTTTTTCCTCTTTGCCGAGCTCGTAAAAAAAACGGGCCTTGTGCAAGTGGATGTATGTATATTTGCAAAAATTCAAACAACCAAGTACACTGTTTTCCTTACGTCTTTCTATACCTATACGTTCATAAAAGAGCAAGGAAGTTTGACCAAATCAGTGCGCGTCTACCGTGTGCAAAACTGATTTTAAAAAAGTTTGTCTTTCTCTCCACTACTGTCGCAGCAGCAGCCGCCGTTGCGCTGCAGCACAGCTCTCTTTTGTTGTTCTTTGCTTCACTTCTCTCTCTTTCCCTTTTCCTACGTCTTTTCTCATATCTTTTGCACCTTATATTTTAGAGCTGTAGGAATAAACGAATGAGAAAAAAAGCGCTAAAGTTTTCAACGCTCCAGTTGACTTTTCGATCGTCTTTTGAAATGAAGGGCTGTTCTAGGGTAGACTATAAGTTTTAGCATAATTGAGCAAAGCTTTAAAATTGAAATATAAAAATATATTTAACGTAATTTCGTTTTCTGTTTCAGGTATGTCAAGTTTCCCACACTCGGATTCGTCCAATGTCGTCTCTCGTAAGTATTACTCACATACGCATCACGCAAACACTTTCCAAGCAGTCACAGTCAAATATGTAACAATTATCATTTTTCCTTACTTTGAACATAATGAAATCACAGTACGTCGTGCATCTCGCAAATTAAAATTCCCACCCAGTACATTATCTTTTTCGCTCAACCTGCAATTTTTTGTCCTTTTAAGACTCTATTCTTCGCGCATCTGGCTCCTCTCAAGCGTATAATACATTGTGCTGTGCTCAGCAAAGACGCGAACGCGACGTCCCCCTTCAATGGACGAAAAGTCTTCGAAGATCCTTTTCTTTACACTCGCAATATAATATGTGCGTTATTAACTCGCTCTGCGCGCAAAAGAAAATTAAAGGTAAATATATAACACAGTAGGATGTTATATAGCTGTCACGCACGAAGCGACGACAGGCGTAAATAAAAAGTCACTGAAGTACTTTTTAATGATATGTGCGTTCTTTGATATCAAAGTATTTATATTATGGAGCGACAAGTCGAATGAATATTACGTGTTTTTCTTTCAAGTTTTGCAGTATTTAGATAAGAAAAACCTGTAACAAAAGAATCAGTATATGAGTGATTATATATATGGTATATAGAAGGTAACGCGATAACAGCTTTAATTAAATCTTATTGTTTTATTCTACAGAAAGCTTTGAGCGATTAAATAATAATAATAATAATAATAATAATAATAATAATAAAGGCTAAAGGCAACAAAAATGTATACTACGTTCAAAGTTCTAATATTAAGACGGGAAAAAATGGCAAGGGCTTAAAAAAAACATTTTTTTATAAAGACGTTTGCCGCGTACTTTTTTAATGTAAAATAATTACTGGAGTAAAAAAATCATGATGATGATGTAGGATAAAGATGTGTTCCTTAGAGAAAGGTCTAGCGATAGATACAGAATCCTTGCCGCGCGTATGCGCAAGAACTTTCGTAAAAAAGCTAAGCTCTGAAAAAGTAATGAAGTAAAGGAGATGGAGAACAGCATCAGCCGGAGAGAAAGATGCGTAAAAAGGAGAGGAGTGTAGCGCGCGCAGGGGTGTAGAAAGGAAAAAACTTTAAAACTCATTTCCGTGGTTTCTTTCATGATCTTTCAGCCAGTACTTTGCTCTTTTCTGGGCGCGCACTACGTTAAAAAAAAGAGTACGTTGCTGCTACTGCTTCGATTATCGATGAAAGGTGAAAGAATAAATTAGTTTGTCGACGATGAGGTGAATTCAAGGTTCACGAACAAACTTCCTTTGGCTTTTTTTCAAAGCTGAGATTTTTCACGCGGTTCGCTTGTTATTTTTTTCCTTCTTTGCTCCCTTTACTTAGTTGAGTATTTTCGTGACGACCGCGAGTTTTATAACAAGTAGTTTCAACTTTTCTTTCTATCATTCATTTTAGGTCAAATCGGCTAAAAGTATTAAGACCTTCTCTCTCGTCTCCCTTTTTTCGCTGGACAATCCTTACATTTTACCACTTAAATCACGAAAAAAGAAGTAGAATGATATTCCGACCAGCTCGATGGTCGTCCGGTTTTTTCCCGAGTAAGTAATTGTGTAGCTATTTAAAGAGGTCCGAAAGACGAGCTACGATACTAGCGAATCTTGGCAAAATAATAGACCTAGCTGCTCGACAGAGGAAAACTACAGCAGTAGCAACAGCAGCAGCAGCAGCAGTAGTAGTATGTCCCTCGGGAGAGCATGAACTTACATGTGCGGTAAGTTTTGCGAGGAATTTCGCGACTCTCTGGGCTAACTTTTCTCTCGAGTCGGAAGAAACTCCCGACGTCGTCGATAAATTATCATCTCGCGGACTCGTGCTCGTTAACGTCTAAAGAAATAAAAAGGATGTTCGCTCTCGTTCTCTAGCTCTCTTTTGTGTGTATCGCCCAGACGCGAGCGCACACACCGACGGCGGCGGCGGTGGCGGCTCTGCTTGGCCATTAGATTGCCTCCAGCTGGTCTTGTGTTGGTGCTTACTTTAATGAAACTTTCGTCTTCTTTGCCTTTCCCCGTGTATACCTCACCTTTACTCAACTTATTATTGTTAAAAGTTTTAAATACTTTGGAGTATAATGTACTCGCAGTTGCAGCTTTGTTCGCGTATATATATCGCGCGCCAAGGTTTCACTCGCGAAAGAGCGGGTAATTCAACCCAATCGCTTACGGAGAATCAAAAAATATATGTAAATTTTGAATACCGCGCGCAAAGAAAAATAAAGAATGAGAAGAGAACGAAAACTCGAGTCAGTGGAAGTACTAGGCGCTTAGTCGGACAATAGCCGAGCGCAGCGTCGCCGCCGACGCGACGGTTTAGCATGAGATAACCGTCGGGGAAAGAGGAAGAACCTTCTTTCTTGCAGGTTTAGATAGCCAATATAGCAAGAGTATATATTCTCACTCGTTTGAAATTCAAGTTGACACTTTCCTCGAAGCGACTAGGATAACGATTATAGCTTCTATTTCCACTCTCGGCTGCCGACGAGGTTCGCTGCGCTGGAGAAGTTCATCGTTCATCTCTCTCAATGACGGATCAGGACCATAAAATCCGAATTAAATAGAAAGTGGCACTTGCCTTTAAATCGCAGTTGACGAAAATCTAGCCGAGATCGGGAGAGAGAGAGAGACGTGGAAATATCGTTCGACCGCAAAATCTCTCTCTCGGCGTCGGGGGGCTGCTACTACGATAACGAAACGAAGCGAGAAAGAATGCCGCGCGCCGCCGAAGAAGCCGAGAGAAGAAGAGATTAAGGCACGAGGCATAATAGTTCAATGCGAGTTCGTGCAGTCGGAGTTTTCAGCGGTAGCAGTGCAAAGGCGAGAGAGAAAGAGAGGAGGACTGCCGGGGCGGTGCGGTACAAGCATCATAGCGAGTGTTAACGAGCTCTACTCGAGAGGTGAATCCATCCTCTGGGATTGCCAAAGAATACATTACGTTGGCGGGGCTTAAGCTCTTTTAAATTCAACGAACTAATGATTCCAACTACTTAGGAAGTGCTCAGTACGCTAATTATCGAACCCAGTGTGTGTTCTCTTTCGACTGCCACTGTCTTTTTTGTGGGTTGTTTTCTAATCAGCTTTTCTTTCATCTCTTTCTTTTATCTTAGAGTTGTTTGTTCATTTTGTTAGTCCATAAGATTTCGGAATGATTTCCCTGCCTCGTTAATTAGCCCGGCTCGTGGTACCTCGAGTGGTGGCGCTCAACGTTGCGTCAGACTTCGTCGTCTTCGTCGCCGTCGCCGCTGCCTAAATACATGCAATATGCAAGACACGTACAACGAGAGAGAAATGTGTTCACGTTCACAGAAAGTCTCTAGAATGCTCCCTTCCCTAAGAAATATTTTTGGTTAATCGATTTTAAGGACTTTGTTATATTTTATACGAATCTTTTCGACAAATTTTCTCAGCTTGAATGTCTACATCCATTGTAGCAAGGATAGCTGATCTTTTTCGTTTCTAATAATTTCTCAACGAAGTTAAATTTTCATCTAACTCCGTACCTCTGAAAGGTTGCTTTCATCTCCAGGATGTCTCGCTACAGTGGCAGTAGGATTTTGATTGTCTTTCGGAGAATAGTTAAACTAATCGCTAAACTTTCGTCAAAGTCATTATATTGAAATACCTCATCTGTATGTGTATATGTGTGCGCCAGCCTAAAGACTTAATCTTCTATTAAGTTTTAACGCTATTTCGACTGAGCTAGAGAGAGGGAGAACAAAGTTTATCCCTTCCACCTTCTAATTGTCGTTTAGATGCTTTCAAAACTGTCTTGTTCTCCACTACGTCTGTGTGTGTGCGCGTGTGTCTATTTCTCTCTGGGTCACACTGACGAGCCTTAAGACGAAAAGATATTCCGCCCCTGCTTTTGTGAGCTTGTGTAACTGTGCGCACAGAAGTTTAAATCATTTAATCTCTTTTCCTCGTCTGCAACTAGTTACAATAATTCCGTGTATCATTGCCATCGAGAGTACAAAGACTCTTCATAGTGTGCTTGAGAAATGATCCCATTGAAGCGAAAAATGAAAAATTGCATTAGTCTGTTAACTCATCCGTATAGCTCAGAGTTTTAAAAAGGGTTGAGCTGTAAAACGCAATTTTTCAGGATTCTAAAATTAAAGCGATTAAATACTGGCGTAGTAAGCAATAAGACCGTAAAACGTAATTTTACCGCTCGATACTGTGCTCATTCAAAGGCAAGACTTGGGTATAGCCGGAGACTAGGAACAGGTGCTCAACCGGCAATGCGCGCCCGTTACAAATCTCGGTGTATATGCAATATATACATCAGCGAGTTTATAGTGGCTACTCTATGTGTTCTCCAAAATGGGTTAAGTGCTTTACGATGGATTGCTCAAGGACACCCTCATAATTCATTGGCCACTATTCACGCGTACGAGCGCTTGGCCCGCTCGTGCCAAGCCAAGCCTTTCGGACCATGCTGCGAGACGTACTACCACTGCGCCTGATGATTAAATTCCATTGTGCTAAGAAATATACACGGGCGCGTTCGTGAGAGGTAATCACCTAACGCAACTCTCTACAAGTTAATCAAATTTTGCAAGCTTTAAAGCTCGCGTAAAGAATGCTCGAATAGGTGAGTTTTTTAAATGTATATTCTCGAGGGTAGTTCAACGGTCGCTCTCTCTCTCTCTCTCTCTCTCTCTCTCTCTCTCTCTCTCTTTTCTGTCTGTTGAGTGTGCTTTTACCATGTTGAGCTACATGGCTGATCCAAGTTTCGATGGACTTTGATGCGGTCTACGCGCTGGACTGTGTACGACTGCTACTCCTCTCTATCTCTAGGATTGGAAGGGGGCGGGGGGGTAAAAAAATAAAAATCATGGGAACGGGAGAGAAATGAGTTGGCGATTACCTCATGTATACGAGTGCCCGTCCTGTATATGTAAATGAAACTTACGTGAAATGTGAGGTTTGGTAATTAGGATAACAGGGTGCGCGCAGTAGCCGGCCAGGATGAAGAACAATTTTCCTAA